CGATTTCTTGATTTTGACAATGTAGGGCTCACCATACAGGCGCGTGCACACCCGCAAAGATGCGTGCACGTCGGCGCGGGCCAAATCTGTGGACAAAAAGCCGAATGCTCAGGGGAAGAACGCCGACGCGCGGGGGCGCCGACGCGCGCCAGCCTGCACGGAAAAGCGCAGCGCGTGAGAGAAGTGCGCCGGCGCGCTGGCACATCCCGCAGGAAAACAACAGTGCTGGAGAGAGGAGTGCCGACGCGCCTGCGTCGGCGCGGGCGCAAGTTTGATGGAGGCCAGTCCACAAGAAACCTTCCCAAATCCAACCCGGAGACCCCAGGACGTCCACTGATTTCTGGTGTGGGACTGTCACGCCTTCCATCGCAAAACCATCGAAACCCAAGACACCGAGGGCACCCTGGAGGCACGCAGGGTGTTTTTTTGGCATGGGTCTCCACTGTATGATGCGCGAGGGGGGAGCACCGTCGCGCGCGCGCGTCGACGCGGGGCCCCAGGCGCATCGTGCTTTTCCCGTCGGTGATGTGCCCGAGCCGGCGCTCGCTCCGACGCTCGCGCGTCGGCACGGGCTCCACGCAGAACGGGAACGCGCCGAGGCGCGCGAATCGGCGTGGGCCCAGGCGCATTCGCAGATGTCTTCCCACGTAAGATGGGCCCGCGCCGAGGCGCGCGCGCGCGCGTCGGCGAAGGCCCAGGTGCATGGTGCTGGTTGGACCCGCGCCGAGGCGCGGCGCACGGTGCTTCTCCACGCAAGCTGGGGCGCAGAATGCCCCCCCCCCACACCTGCCCCTATCCCTTTTCCCCCCCCCTCCCCGCCCACGTTTCGTTCGCCTGCCCCGCCTCCCCTGCGCCGTGTCGTGGAGAGGCGAGGAGCGTGCCCACGGCAGGCGGGGACCTCCCCTTCCTCCCTCGGCGGCTCGCCCCCCCCTCCTCCCTCGGCAGGGCGCTGGGCTGAGGCAGCCTGGAGGCCACCCGCGAGGCTCTGGCCGAGGGGCGCTCTCTCCCCGAGGCCACGCCCCCGCGTGCCCCCAAAATCTGCCTCGGGGCCTCCAGCCGACCTCCGACCGCTGTCGACGAGCTTTTCTGCTCGGCGTGCCCCGGCGGCGGCCCGAGCGACACGCCACGCCCTGCGAGGGGCTGGCGTGCCGCTCCGCTCCGCGGAGCGGGAGGTCGAGAGAGGCTGGGGACGTTGACGCCTGGGAAGTGGAGACGCGGACAGCGCCTCGCGCCGAGGCGTGGTTGAAGGGGAACTGGGACACACAAAGGAATACACACAAATATTAAAGGATTCCCCATCTTTTCTCATATTTTCCGGGTTTTTGTCTCCCCCCCCACTTCCCATATTTTCCCCTATTTTCTGGGAATCGCCGATTCATGGTGTCTGTGTTTTTTGTTCCCCTCCTGATGTTCACGGGCCACGGGTGCCCCGAAGAGGACCCTTCTCCAGCGGGGAGCCACCCGAGGTGGACCCCGAGGCCCCTGCCCGAAAGCCCCTCCAGAAGCAGAGCAAAGGCAAACATGGAGAGCCTCCTCCCTCCCTGAGAAAGCGAACCCCCCCCCCCCCCCCCCACCCCCAATCCCCGACGCCCATCCTGAGTGGTGGGCAAGAAGCCGATATTTTCCCATATTTTCCCATATGTTCTGGGAATCGCCGATGAATGGTGTCTGTGTGTGTTTTTCCCCTCCTGAGTGGTGGGCACAAGAAGCCGGCGGAGCGGCGTGTCGCTCCGCTCCGCGGAGCGAGAGGTCGAAAGAAAGGCTGGGGACGTTGACGCTTGGCAAGTGGAGACGCGGACGGCGCCTCGCGCCGAGGCGTGGTGGGCACAAAAAGCCGGCGGAGCGGCGCGCGAAGCCGAACCTCCCCGGCAGCAGGGCCCCTCGGCTCACGGGCCGCCAGCCCCTCCTCGGAGCGCGGGCCCGCGGCGCGCGCGCCGCGGGGGGGGGGGGGGGGGGGGGCATACAGGGCAGTTTTCAATACATCGTTTTTTGTGTGTATATATATATATATATATATACATATGCGATTTGTTTATATATATATATATATAAATAGTATTTTTAATACCGGACTTTGAAATCATGCTTAATGTATGAACGAATTTATGCATTAACTCATCGTTGTTTTGAATACTAGATCCCTGCCTTTGTTAATACATGATCCGCACGCGGAGCACGTATCAAAAACGGCACTGGAGGGGGCAAGGGTGGGGAAAACGGGCCCCGCCCCGCCAAAAATTTCAGCAGACCCCGCCGGGCAGTGACGAACGGGGCTTCCCGCGGGCGGGGGGCGGCGAGGGGGGGGCCCTCGAGCCCCGCCCCCCGCGCTGCCGAGTGGGGTGCCTCCTCGCTCCTCGCTCCTCCTCGCTCCCCTGCCGAGTTCGACGGGGGTGCCTCCTCGCCCCTCGCGCCTCCTCGCTCCTGCCGGCACGCGGCCGGCCGCGGCATCGCGCGCCGCTGGGGAGTAGTAGTCGGCCAGGAGCGTCATCAGCAGCCGGCGGTCCTGCTTCTCCGTGACGCGCCCCTGCCCGGCCCCTCGCCTCGCCTCCCCTGCCTGCCTCCCGCTCTTCCTCCCTCCCCCCACTCTGCTTCCCCTCTCCCCCCCCTCCTCCTCCTCCTCCTCCTCCTCCTCCTCCTCCTCCTCCTCCTCCTCCTCCTCCTCCTCCTCCTCCTGCTCCTCCTCCTGCTCTCCTCCTCCTCCTCCTCCTCCTCCTCGTCCCCCTCCCCCTCCTTCTCTTCCTCCCTGTCCCTCGCCCTCCTTCTCCTTTCCTCCTCCTGCCTTCCCCCCTTCCTCCTCCCCTTCGCTGTCCTCCTCCTCCTCCTCCTCATCCTCCAGCGTAGCCAGCTTGACGCAATCTACCCGGTTGGCTTCGCACTCACTCCCGTCGGCTTGCGCGCGATGGGACAGACCAGAGCTTTGGTCACACACCAGTGGCCCAGCGGGGCCATCACCTACATCAGTGACCCTGGGTTGGCGAACCAGCTCTTGGCGGAAATCGCAAAACAGTCCAGCATCATGGACGAGGTTTCGGCTCGTGCGAACGTGGTGGAGGCTGGTCTCCGAGTGCAGCGCGCCTTTGAAGGAACACCCATCCCGAACAGCTATCATCCGAGATCTTCGGCACTTCAACGGTCCAGAACGAGGCCAAGCGCTGGCTGCCGACCACAATGGCCTCAAGGAGCAGACGCAGTCGCTGGACTCGAGCAGGAGCGATTCCCTGGGCACTGGCATGGAGGTTCGGGTCAGTTCTGGCGCCACCCAGGGCAAAAGCAACAATAAGTGCAGTAACCAGGACTTGCACGAGGAGGCGGCAGCCACCTTTGAAGGCGGGTGGCAGTCCATCGAAGACAAGGTGGTGGCCATCGCCCGCAAGGTGCAGGTGCGCCAAAGCGAGGAACATGCCGACAACTACAAGGCACTCGACGAGAGCATGCAGGAGCCATCCCGCCTGGACATCGCCAAGCTCCAAACGCAGCCGCATTACCAAGACAGGCCGCCGAACCAACACCAGCAGCAGCGCGACCATCCGGAGCAGAAGCTGACGCCCTGGAGGGCATCGTCGACAAGCAAGATTGACAGCTGGATCGCTTCGGGGCCTCCTTCGCAGAGCAAGCCGTCAAGCCCGAGTGCACCACAGGGGGACCTCGAGACACAGCCTCCCCCCTTTTTTCTATGTTTCCTATTGTTTTCCTCCTCCTCCTGCTGCTGCTGCTGCCAGCCAGGGTTGGGCGTCATCTAATCACGTGGTAGAACGTACATTGGTAAGGGGGTAAGGATTCGGGCTCGGGCTCGGGATCGAACACGGCACCAGCTGATAATTCGATTGCCTATTGGTTCCTGTGTACGCCTGTTGCTTCCTATCAATTCCAATGGTTTCCTGTGGGTTCCGATTGATTCCTATGGATTCCTATTGGTGCCCGTTGATTCCGGCTGGGCCCTCTGAGTTCCGACCGCTTCCTATTGATTCTTGTTGATCCTACTGCTTCCAACTATCTCCTATTCAAAAATGATCCCGGCGGATTCTTGAAAAATCCCACCAGCCCTTTGGGCGACAGGTGGTCTGAGAAGGGTCTCTTTCCTCTTCCACAACCACTCTTCCCTTCGGGGAGGAGAACCTTCCCCTTCCCCTTCCCCTCCCTGGCTTTTTTTGTTGGAGGGGCCGCGAGGTGTCAGAGGGTCCTTTTTCGGCACCTGGGAGGGCCAATTTGTGACACTCCTCACGAGGATCGTGGCCTCCGAGGGGGGGAGGGAAATCGAGGACCCCCCCTCTTTTGACCGACCGCCTTCAAAATGGCCCCAGGAGGCGTTTTTAAGAGTCACCCGGGAGGCATCCAAGAGGCCTCTCAACGGCCTCAGAGAGCTTAAAATGACCTCCAAGATGGCTCAGACAGCACAAGCTGGCCCAAGATGGCTCCAAAGATGCTCCAAGCGGCCCCCAAACCGCTCCAAGACGGCTCGAGATGGCCACGGAACCTCCCAAGCCTCCCTCGCTGTTTGACTATGCGTGTCTCTTCCTCTCTCCCCCCGTCAACTCTCATGGGCATCGTTTCGGATGGGCTGGTGGGGATTTTTTTGTAGCAACTGCAGGCGAAGGCGCCGGCGGCGTCACAGGTCGGCTCAGGCTACGAGCAGAACTAGTTGCCTAGCGCGCGCGTGGGCAACTGCTAAGCCTACCGCCGGGGGAAGCTGGTGGGGATACTTTTTTGTCAGCGGCCGCAGGCGAAGGCGCCGACGGCGTGTCCAGTCAGAGCGGGGCGCGCAACTGGTGGGGATACGCGAAGAGTCAGGGATTCCAATTGACCCTGACTGGTTCTTAACGAGTCTGGTTGGTTTTCTTAAAGACCATTGGATCCAAATCGACCGGATTGGCTTCCATCGTTTCCAAATGGTTTCTAATAGTTCTTACTGGTTCCCATATATTCCCACGCATTCCAATTCAGTATCACTGATTCTGAATGGATCTTATGGATGTCCATTGATTATTCGTGATTCCTGTTGG